TCCTTTCTCTTGATACGTTTTATTGCCTGTTATCCTATATAAAATAAATAGACTCTCTATAGTTTCTACCAAAAAAAACCAGTCATATAAGAATGTATAAGTCAACGGTATGCAGAGAAGTTTTAGTTAAGCGTAAATACCTGGTCTCAAATAATATTTAGGGTCCATTTTATATACATCAACCGGAAGGTTTTCAGTTTCATGCCGAGTTTTTGATTGTGTGTCATTCGTCAAAACCCACATTATTTCAGGTGCAATTTTAGTATGAGTTGATATATATGCCCAATAACATGTTTCTGCTAATTTTATAGCGATTTCAAGGTCTTGAGGACGGTTAAGAACTTTAGCGCCTATACCAAGCATTCCTGGAACGAAACACCCCTAATGAATTATAGTATAGTACAAATTAAATAAATATATATTTTGAATTATATTATAGTTTAGCAAATTTACCAAATGTTCAAATGCTCCAGAAAAAATGTTATCAGATAATTCGCCTAAGATTAGACGATTTTCCACTAGGCTTTCTTTAATTAAGTATTTTTTCATGCTTTCAATAGATTCAACATCTGGATTATGATTAAATAAGAATAAAATGACCAATACAATATTTAGCTGCTTAAAACAAGTACATACACATTCTCCTGTATTGATCAAATGCGCCTCCAACATATATATACACTTTGATTAGATATTCATAGAAACTATCACCACCTCCTCCAAACTTAATGTAATCTAATATGTTTGTTAATATGATTGTAATGTAAGCACAATTAATACATACTGGTAAAAAAATTATATTTTAACTAAATAATAGCCAGTAATATATAGTACCAGTATTAACTTATTTCTATATATTTACTAGGTAATATATGCAGTTTAATATATTTTTAGTCAATATGCTTAAATACATATATTACCTAGTAAATATATAGGAAATAAGTTAATATTTGTACTATATATTACTGGTTAATATTTAGTTAAAATATAATTTTTTTTTACCAGTGACGGATGCATTTTAACTTACGCACTTCCAATGAATTCACCGGTTTCTGAATTGATAAATAAAATAAATAATTAAATTGATACATAATTTAGAAAATATTAAAAAGTCACACCTTGATCGATGTCAATTGGATATAATCCAGGAATTGACTTGTTCATTTTATCAAGGATGTCAATTATACATTGCGCCTTTTATAATCCATAAATAAATTATATCGATTAGATAAATGAGTTATAATTTTCTAACTAAAGGACAGAAATTATGTTTTAAAAGTAAATTCACTTTAAAAAAAAATTTACTATCTCCTGTAAGTTGCGATAATTTCATAAATTCCAATTGCATGGTACCAATTTCAGCCAACCGAACTCTCTTTTTCTTCATGGGACTTCTAAGATAGCAAGTTAGTAGCTTAAAGTAATTTTATTTACTAAACTAAATACAATCACTATACTTAACTGAATAAAATCGCCCAACTGATTAAGATCATCATACTTAATAGGATGTAATAAATTATGTGGCAATCCACTCAAACTTTCGAATGCTGGTAATAAAGCAATACCTAGTTCATATGCTTTTTCTAAAAATATCTTATCCTGAGAAAGTTCATGAGCACTCAGTAATCCACCTAAATATCGGATTATGGTTTCAAACACGTTAATATTATCGACAGTCTTTGTAAAATTCAAATTTTTAACGAAATCTCTTGATCGATTAAATTCTGCTTTTAAGCCCATAATCCACATCGTATCCAATGCATCAATTATTGTCACACCCCAGCCATTAAAATTATTTTTGCTTGAATTCGT